GTAATAGTTTAGACACATAAAGAAACATCGGTACCGTCCATGTTACAATTTGGACAGTGTTCATCAATTTTAACTGAGGAACAAATTCCTCTGACAAGTTGATAGCATAATAATCTTTGATATTTACAAAATAACACAAACTGAAATATGTATAGATTACCAAGGTTAAATTAACTTTCCTACAAATTATTGTACAATCACTGTTATACTTCTGTTGTTATACGTTTTACGAAAATTTAGTAAAGTTCACTGTAATAACAAGAATAAGTTAAAGTTATAACATATTATCACACGGTTCTCCTTAAGTTACAGTTACCTAAGTTTTTATATTAAATAATAAAAGGTGACTAGCAAAGAAGAGAGACACTTTTACAATAGTGATCATCGTTAAAATACAATCTTTTGATGGTAAATAGGTGTACAATGCTGAACGTATTGTCACTACAGCGTTATTTCTGCCAGTGAAAAGAAAAATTTTAGAGACCCTGCGATTGACTACATCCTCGAGGTCTCAGGCTAGGTAAAAATTGCAGACAAACACCAAGATAAACGGAAATGTATCAAAGTATAGGTTAAAATAGTATATCAATTATTAACGTTATATCATTTATTAATGTATTGAACTTTAGATATAATATTTCAAGCCAACCCCTGAACTCGAGTGATGACGATAAATCTCGTCCGGACGTAACCAAGAAAGTTGTCGTACGTTTAGTGTAGATTGAATTTAAATTTTTTGTGGGTCTGTATGCTGGAAAATTCCGATTATCTTGGTGTTTGTCTGTATAGACTAGTTGGCTCCAGAGATATTGTTACGACAGCGGAAGTCACGTGACGCTGGTAACACGTAATGAGTATCTCGAAGGTTCCTGAAGGCTCGAGCGTTCGCTAGACGCGCGCTTTTATGGTATATAAGACCGGCAAGAAGTGACGGCAAAATTGAATTGCAGACTGGCAAAGATAGAGACGGACAATTGAGTCAATTACCGTAAGTAAAGTGCGTGAATCATTGTGAATTATAGCGTGTGTTAAGTTAAAGTGACTGTGGAAATTAAATGTATTGCAAAGTTGTATTAAGAAAGAATAAACTAGTTTTATCTAAGAAAGGACTTGTGTCGCTGAAGTTTTTCGGAAAGAATTTCTACGGAAAATTAACCAACGAACACAGAGGCGTAACAATATAAATAACCCTAGATTGGTTAGTCACCACTCTTTATCATTGAGGAACATGTGCGCATGCGGGCCGCCATTGCTATGTGTTGACGTTCGAACTGGCAGACAATCTAAAATTGCTAAAAGTGACAGTCGTCCGTCTAAGTCACGACCCGACAGAACGAAGGGAACACAGTGCCATGCCACTAACTGTTGCACATAGCGTAACCAACAGCCGAAGGCGGAAGGTTTTAAATTCCATAAGTAAGTAAAACCATTTTTTTACTATAACATATTATGTTACAGTGGGCAACATCACCGCGGACATGATGGCGGCATCGAACTGGCGTTGATGTTTATATCTAGTTTCAAAGTATATATGTGAGTCTTTTTTGTAAAGCATTTCACTTAGTTTGACACTTTCGATTTAAAATGCTGACAATATTAAGTACTCACATAAGTTGAAATAATCATGTTGCTTGTTGGCCAGTCAGGCTATACAGAGACGCCGTGAAAACATACACTGTCTACAGATACAAGTTCTGTGTACATTCACTTTTGATGCTATCACTGAGGTAGAAGTCTATTAAGTATACCACTTCGTTTAATGGATGAGAGAGGAAATTAGGGTTAATTTGTATGGTTTAAGACAAGTCTAGTCTGATCATTAACGTTATAACTTATCTGGGAAAATATTCAAATATAGACTTAACACTGTTAATAGACTCATTCTTAGAATTACATGACAGGTTCAAGTTTTACCATCCTTTCAAATCAAAAATCCTTCAGCTGTCAGTGTCATTATGATAAATAATCAATATGCAGTACAAGTGGCCAAAAATATTTTGTATTGCTTGAACAAAAACACATAGAAGAGTGCTTATAACATTAACAGAATGAACCTATGTATAGGCCTTTCTATTTTGTTACATTTAATTGCAATGTATGTGTGAAATATCAGTTAAGTATATTAGATGTATACATGGTTTTCACAATGCCGATTGTGTATTCGCATGTTCACATGAAAACAAAATATTATAGAAGTTTCTAACATGAAATAGCAGGATTTGGCTAACATGTGATTATGAATTGTACATCCAATGATAAAATTGTTGAATATACAGTAGCTAAATATATTCCTGCAGTATTGTTGAAACTAATCCACTATAGTGTACTGTAATCAATAAGAAAAGTCAGGCCTATGTCCTTGGTACTTCTCTACTTAATCAAGTTTGTAAGATTTGTGATATTACTCTGTGGCACACATTACCCACATAGCCGTTTTCTGAGAAAAAATTAGGTATCGAGGGAAAGTTGGATTTATATTTTAGTCTTTTAATTTGATATTGTAAATGCTGGTAGACTAAAATTATTGCACCATCGTAAATTTATAGAAGTTAAAAAAGGACCATTATGCAGTGTATTGAAGTGTCCATGATGGGAAAATGTACTGGTCATGAAAATATAGGTATGTACAAGGTAGAATAAGACGCACAGGTTCTTACAGCAAATATTGGACACATAGCATGGTATGCAGATTAGGCAGTCTAATGAAATGGTAATGACACATGACATATCTCATTTGTTTTTAGTTATTTAAGTATACACCCATAAATTCCACCTATTTAAAACTTACAACTTTATTCGCACATGAAAGTATATTTAATTTGTAATTAATAACATGTCATATTTTTTCAAGTCAACATCAATTAAATATATCAGATTAAATACAAACACTATTTTAATGCTTTAATCTGTACATGTCTTGTACTACACCGAAGTAAAATGTTTTGCATAATTAAGTAACCTGACTTTGTTATGTCGCCATTCAAAGGTGAATCCCACTATGGGGAATGATATTTGGTCTTAATGGCAGGATGATCTTGGAACCACTGTTCTAATGAGGAGAATGATAGCATTTTACCGAAAAGATTTTGTTCTGATTACAGATTAATTATGTGAGTAAAATATCTTAAACTGGGTTTCACCCAGATGATAAATTTACAGAATAATGATGAATTCTTTATTATGTTTTTCTTGACAATAAGAGACTGGCTGTGTACATGAGTTAAGCTGCAATAAAAATTGGAGAGTTGTAGCAAAGATGTTTTCCTACACTTCAAGCCTTTAATTATAAGACCTTACAGAGACTACTTGATGGGAAGGGGCTCAGATCCAAAAAAGAATTTAGTAGTAGGTGAAGGGAGGGAAGGAGAACATGACCATTCGGTCATAACTCGGTAAAAAGAGGAAAAGGGAGTCTTTAAAAGGGTAACATTGCTAAATAGACCATTTATAGACCATTCCAAGCTTTTACTTGTTGTTAAAGAAATGTTTAAACAACTCTATTCAATTATGTACTATCCGCCTAGTGTCGGCTAAAAATACGAAGAATTAAATTTTGGCGGAATGCTACAAGTTCTTCA